AATCGTTGAACCTTCGATTGTAGATGGCTATCGAAACTGTCACTGTTACTGATTCTAACAATGCTATCACAAAACTAATGAAACTAATAATTTTCTGCTCGCGAGATCGCGGTTTATATAGGACTATCTTTGAAGATGGTTCCTTAGTGAGATATGTCTGGTTGGGAAATCGAGGAATCAGATTCGTAGAATTCTTTCTTCTCTTTGATATGATAACAATTTTAACTGGTCATTGGAAAGTTGCCCTTAAGTTAGTTCCACCCATGCTGTAGATTCTGGTTGCTTCTATTCTTATTAGTGAGTTTCGATACAGAGAGAAAATGTGTGGGTTGTGAATTACCGATTTCTTTTCTTATCATTATTACAAATGGGAAAAACCTGCATTTTATCAAACTCCTCTCGCGTTGAGCGATGAGCAAATATCTTGAATTTAGTTAATCTTGCCCTTTGAGAAATAAAAAGCATAAGTCGCAGTTTGTGATGATTTTTTCCAATATCGGAAGATGTCATTATTAAATTTATGACACTCTCTTAAGTCTACGCGTGGGACCATTATCATTGGATGTGTGATATCGGTGTGAGATGATTAAACATTTCTTGAGTGTTGTATCCGCGTTATCGCTCTTATTATCGCGGGGAATCGTTTCGCGGCCCGGCTTAGCCTTGGTATCACCGCGGTTTATTAGTAATTATTTGACGATTTCCTTTTTCCACGACGCTCGAGATGAGATTTGATTTCCAATGCGTTAAAGCTATATAAATTTTATTATCACGGATCTCTCGATTTTAAATAAACAAGTTTTCTGGCTGGAAACTCTTCTTGGATTCGCGTTATCGGTTGTATTTGTTCGTGTCTTACTTTTTTATCGAACGTTCGCAAAATGAAGAAATTGTACAGTCCCATAGACGTAACATATTATTAGAATTGAAATCAATAAAAAATTCAATTAATCTGAGTTTGATGACTCATGATATTTTATTGATTTAGTATTCCTTAGATCAGACCAGGTCAGTCGATCACCAGTACTACAACCAGGTTGTAGCAAGTCTTCTTTCTTTGATGAATTAGCTGACTTACTTGGCTTTTTAGTGTTTCCTATTCTCGTTTGCGTTTTTTTTTTAGTTAATACATTTGTTGTCGTTGCTTCCTCTATAGCAATAGTTTCAATCGCAGCATCATCAGTTAAAATAGTTTCATCATCAGGTAAAATAGTAGTATCGCTTTTCCCGGTTTTCGTCTCCGACCGGTATTTTTACATGGAAGCGCTTTTAAAAGCAAATGAATTGCAGTGTTTCGTCCAAATTTACTTTTATCTCGCTATGTTCGATTGGTCGATCAATTACTGAACCGGGCAGGAGGTCAATTTCTTGAAAAACGTCAGGATCCAATAGTCACAGATGCCTGTTGCTATTTACTATACTGTAAGTCCGATTTGGACACCCAAAGAGAGGTTCGATTTGGTCCTTTCGAACTTTTAGAACAAATTTTACAGTAAACCGCAAGTGATCACAAAACGCTTGATATTTTTGAATTCTGCACTCTTTAATTATCCTAAATCATATATCTTTCAAATTTTTAACATATTTTAAATAATGACTTATAAGAATTCTCTTTTTTTTTTTAAATTTTCGCACGATAGCTGAAAATACATATTTGCGTCTATTCTATGGACGTTATGACAGAGAACTGTCAAACTGCTGTTACATGTTCGGTATCTTATAAAGACTTAACATTATAAATAGCATGCAAATCTGCTTAATATTCATGTAAATTAAAAAGATCCTATTTAGAACATGGTCCGATTTAGAACACTCTTCCCTATGTTTATGCATACACCGAAATGCATTATAAAATTAAATAAACGAATTTTTCATTTTATATTTATACTTTCTTTACTTGATATTTTTTTATCTTAATTTCACATTAATTAATATAATTTTATCCAATATTTTTTTCAAGAATCAGGAAGTTGATTGTGTATTTTAAAACTTAGTGTAAACGATAAAAGTGAGCTCTCATTTAATTGGGTAGTTTTCATCATAGTGGAAATGTGACATTTCTCATGTGACATTGTTCGACAAGAAATTCTATGTCGAATTGTACCAAATAGTGTTAAAGCGTGTCGAGATTGGTCGAAATTAGTGGAAATTTGTCAAAATCCATTCTACTTAAAGACATAGATTATTGATTTCCATTAATGGACATTATTTTTATGCTTTGTATGAAGGAAAATAACAACAAAAATAATAAAATTCGAAACACTTGAATTTAAGACGATTACTCACGATCCATTTAAAATCTCAGACAATACATTTAAAAAATTATATAGATTAGTATATAAATATATTAAGTATAGAAATATGTAAATTATTTAAATAAGATGATGCAATGGCATGTACGGTCGAAGCAAATCTTCATGTCTTATAATATTTTTTGCGTAAATGTTAAAATTTCCAGTTCAAACTAAAATAATGAAATTTTATTATAAAATTCACTTAAAAATTTTATTGGATACTAAGTTCCGTTTGACCGTACAGATAATTTTATTATGTTAATTATTTGAATAATACACAGCTCATAAATATTCTAATGATTGATATAAATTATATTCTGTTATAAATTATACATATACGTGTGTGTGTTTACGTAGGTCACAACAAAAATTATGTATCACTTGCATTTCGCATTCACATTTGTGATTTTCACTCTCGAAAGCATAGGAATATCGTACTTTCTCTATGCTCACAGCCAATCGCGCGTATTTTTTCACGTGAAATGAAAATGCGAGAAGTGAGAATATTCGACGCTGATACGCAATCGACCCCCTGAATCAATATTTGCGATTCGAATGCAATTATTTTCTTTCATTTCGCGTTTGGAAAATCTCAGGGCATCGATATCTAAATATAATATTATTACGTGCTCACCGTGCGTAATTCGTTTTGCAACTGAATCATCAGCCCGAACGAACGTGCACTCCCGAATCGCAGGAATAAAAGACATTTGTTAAAAAAAGGAGCATGACACTTTATTACAATACACTCGCACAAACAAAGCGTCCGCGTACTACGAAGAAAATATAGAAGTGATCGGAGCATGTCCGAGCAAAGTAATGTCTCAATCATAAAATCTGTCAAGATCGCCTAAACAGCTGAGCTGCTGCTCGTCGCCTAGCGACGCGCTTTTCATGTCTTTTCGACTTGATTCGCTCGGAGACAGTACAGCATGGGTGTACGGTGCCGACATAACACTGTCCTCCTTTTTTCAGATTATCGTCCCGATAATCACAATTTTGGCGAGCTAGTGTTTCTTCTAAGCGATTTTTGAAGCTTCTGGACAGTTTCCCGCTCTACTTTGTGCTATTGCACAAATTACCGAGTTCTGTCCTTGACACTCATTTCTCTTTGTGGCAGGCTTCTAAGCGGAGCTCCCCCTCTCGACTTTTCCAGAGACCAGTCCTCCAAAGTCAAATGCTGAGGCGTCCCGTTAGTGTCTCTTTGGATTCTTCTTGACTCTTCTCTTGAGTCTTGCATACTTCTTTCTTCATACTTCGGACAAAGATGGGGAATCTGACTTTTCTACGATACCTCCGTCCCACAAGACTTTGCTAAGTCCCCGCCTCGGCATTTGTCCAAAGTCCCGCGGAAAAACCAGATCAAAAACCGCGGGCGAGGTCTTCTTTAAAAAAAGAAAATGCTTGTAGTGGTTCCTGAGTAATAAAATATTACTCAGGAACCACTACACGCACTTTCCTCACTGCAATCTCAACAGCTGCAACCCATCGATAGGCTTTCCTATCCGATAGACCGAATCCGACGATTTTTTTCAGCAAGTACTTAAAATCGCTCTTCTCGAGACAACGGAGTGGCCTCCAACCGTCCCTTCTTCGATTTCCGTACTCGATTTCTGAAACTCAATTGAATGGCGTTGTTCACATCGCAAAATTAAAATGGAACAGTTTTATTATTTATCAAAAATTATGTTACTTATAAAAAAACAAGAACTAACTTTAATTCTATTTATTCTTAACATCCTACGATTCTTTATTTTTTTTTTTTAGTCGGAGCCTTTAATCCTACTAGTTGAACTTGCTCCACTCACAAAGCTCAACTGGTCCGAGCTTTCCTCTCTTCCCGGGCACTCGGAGCGGAGATGACTCATTTTCTTGCACTGCCAGCACTCCCCCGAATTCAGGAAATTTCCCTTTCCTTTTTACTTCCTCTCCATGGCTCCTCTTGGATACGTCTTATCGCCCTTGCTCTTTCTATTGTCAACCGCAACAAAGTAATCTCTTCCAATTTCTCCTTATGAAGTCCGACAATGCCGAAATAAACTGCGTGCAAGCGATTTTGTCTCGAATCACATATGTACACTCCGGGTACACCAACGTAATAACCTCTCTATTTCGATAGTCGAGGTTGGTGAAATCCTCACCGAATTTTTGTTTTCAATTTGTGAATTATGAATACGTCGTTTGCGACAAATGTCCCTTTCCGAACTCAATTCCAATTTATCTTTCAGCTCTGTATACTCCAAATTGTCTAGGTATATCATGTACGCATTCTGGAATACCGTATGTTTTCCCCTCAAACAGGATGCTAGAGTGATAGTTTTTGATATTTCGTTCCAACGATTCGCCTGCGCGAGAACTCGTGCAACAGCACTCTCCCATCGAACGTGTCGAGCTTTAATTTATAACCGAATTCATTATAAGACTTGGACGCATCACCACGCATGCAAGACTCTATCGCGTCGCCACGCTCGCCCCGATATTCAATGTGACACTATATTAGAGGGACTTAGCTGGATGTTTTGTTAGGATTCATGTTCTTGCAATCTTCTTCGAAGCTGTGCCAGCTCCTCGTCTTGTTGCTGCAACAACGACAACAGCTCCACCTCTACGTGATCATTACTTCCGAAGCTGTCTTATTTCTGATAGCGCAGCCTGCAAGACTGTCATTTCCAGCGTTTGATCCAATTCTCGCCATGTGACTCGGGGAGCTGCTATTTCGGACATTCTTTCCGGGCCGTTCAACTTCGCCGACATTTCTGCCGGATGGAGCCTTTCAGGATCCATCAGCTGACTGAGCTTTTTTTCTCGTCACGATAGGCGAACGAAGCATTCCCGCCGTCCGGATTTTCTGGATCGAACGAGTCCCCAAAAATGTTACGCTCGTCGTACGTAATTCGCTTCGTGCAACTGAATCGCAAGCTCAGGCGAACGCGCACTCACGAATCGCGAGAATAAAAGAAGAACGCCCAACGACGTGCTCTTCATGTCTTCTCGACTCGATTCACTAATTCGTTACTGATGTTTAATTTCGCGCACGTTTATCTATGCAACGTAGTTTATCTTAGCAGCTTTTATGTAGCTTTGAATGTATCAAATGAAATAGCGTTATCGGCGATTAATATCGATAAAAATTTAATCGCCGTAATACCCGCTTGAAACGACCGGTCCGACAATTGATGACATTATAATTTAAAAGCAATTAGTCCGATATTATACAGGGTGCATAAAGTTGCACTACTAGTTCAAACACAATTCTACTGTCATATCACACTACTGATAATTAAATAAATTACAATTTGTTTAAAATAATTTCTCTTTTCACCAAATAAAATATCAAATTTCTTCCAACAATTACATATTGATTGATGATTGGTCATGCACATTGTATAATCAAAAGCGTAAAGGAAAGAGAAGATAAAAGTACACAACGAAAATTTTTTTTGCAGATGGACAAGGACGTTTAATAACAAATGGACAAGTAACAACTGGCGGCAATATCATAAATTTCAAATCTGTAAATGGTGTTAGTATGACACAGACAATCAATTCTGATTATAAAAACGGAGAACCATTCGTGATTGTTGTTAAAGAACGAAATGATGGGAATTATCTTTATCACGACGAGACTTCTTACTATCCAAAAACTAATGCTACCGAGAGCATTCACTGGAGATTGGATCTCACAAATTCAGATGCTGAACCTGAATTCTTCCCGAACGAGCAATAAAACAATATTTTATTTTCATTTTTATTTTCATGTTCTATATTACAGTTTTTGTACTTGACCCATTATTGTACAAATTTTTCTATTAAACGTATTTGGCTGAATTTTAATATATAGGAGTGGCTAATTATAAATTTTAAAATAAAATTTAAAAAAATCAAAATAATATTTCATATGGCAGAAAAGAATTAACTATGACTTATTTACATGTAAAATTTTATACGTAAAAATATTAAAAAATTGTTAAGAATATTAAAAATATTAAGAATATTATAAGGGGATTTTAAAGCGAAGCTCGAATTCTGACGAAGTCACCAGAGGTCGCGCGCCATATCGACATGTTCGTAATCTTTTTGAGAAATTAGCCTTTTCACGAAAAGGCTAGTCTTTATGCAAAACGATGCTTTTTTGCATCAAATCAACAATCGTTCCTCAATTAGACTGACGCACTTTAGCCTTTTCGAAAAGACTAACTCACATTTTTGTTACAAAATTTGGTAAATGTTGACAATAACGGAAACAGCTCCGATGCTCGACATATGTTGTGACCCTGAGTAATCTCCGACAGATTTTTCTTGGCGGTCACTCTTTATTAAAAAGTCATTAACAAAAAAAGTTTTAAAAATGTTTTATTCCATTACTTTACAAACAAATTCACCACTTCAAAAATTAATTATTTTATAATTTTTTTTGTTTTTAAAGTAGTAAACTTGTTTGTAAAGCAGTGAATTTGTTTGTAAAGTAGTAAATTTATTTGTAAAGTAGTGAATTTGTGTTTTTAAAGCAGTGCTTTAGTGTTTCTATAAGTTTACTGCTTTAAAAGGCAAAAAAAAGAGACTCATGGAAATCGTATGCCCTCAAACAGGGGAGAAGGTGGGATGAGAATCGTTTTGCGTAGAAACAGGGGAAGGTATATAAAATAGTATTTAATACTGTATATGTATAGTAGAAATAAAACGTTATTTAAAAAATTTTTTTTGTTAATAATTTTTTAACGAAGAGTGACCGTAAAATCTGTCGGAGGTTACTCAGGGTCATGATCTTGACAACATGTCAAGGTCCAAAGCATCTTGCTTTTTACAATTTGAGATTAACATAGCATAAATAGAATATTTAATATATTGGCTTCTCAGAAATCTCTGTCTGGTTCATTTAAGGAGCTGCTATATTTTTTGAAGATAATAATAGTAATGATTATTCATTTTAATTTTTTCTCTTTATTATTTGTTTTTAATTTTAATTCAATTATTAATACTTATTGTGTTAATTATATTAATTCTTTATGATTAATATTATCTTTAAAGCTTTTAATTTAAAAAATTGTTTTGCCTTTAAAATGTTTTTATTGAATAGGATAAAGTGTACAGTAATTGACCATTTAAGTGCTGAAATTTAATACTCACTATAATCACTGAAATTTGAATTTGATGCAAAGCAAAGTTTAAAGAATATGTCAAATACAAAAACTTTGAATAAGACCATGTTTTTTATTTTGTCCAACAGTAGAAACACTTTTATTCAGAAAAATGATATTATTATACTATTAATCACAAGTTTTAGAAATCTACATAATATATTGCTTATTATATAATTACAATAATGTTTATTAAATTTAACTATTAAGTATGTTAATTTGCGTTAATATTGGCATTTTATTTGACATGTATGCATATGTCACTTATTTTTATTTGTCGTATGACTGTAATTTCTATTTTGTTTTCTATTGTAATATTATCATGAATATAATACGTTGATAATTAATTTATGCATAGATTCAAGATAAATTACTTTATTAATTTCCCTTTTTATGATTCATCATTGATTTGTGCGCGTGCGTGCGTGCGTGTGTGTGTTATAGCTTTAATTTTATTTGCTTGCAATCAATATCGGTTTTTCAATTACTTCTTTTTCTTATAATATTTCTTTAATCTAAAAAATGTTAATATTTTATAATGCTTTTGACAAAAATCGAAAACATGTTTTTGTCCCTATTAGTGAGTCTTCTAAGCGGCCCTATTAATGTGCTCCTAATTAGTGTGCCTATCCACATTTGACTCATTTTAACATATAGTTACTAAAACAGATAATAAATTTAAACTAATTGTTTATGTTAATATATAAATCATTATTTCAATTATATTTATTTCGAAGTACACTTATAACACAGCGTTCTCAGCTCTAATACAGGGTACATTAATAGGGATAAGCTTAAAACCTTACGGTACGTATTACTGGATTCACATAAATTCCTCATATCTTTCAAAAAATATTTAAAATTCTTTAATACTTAAAAAATAAAACATTA